TGCCAGGATGCTTGTGGCACTCTCTGAAGTTCAGTAATTCCCTAATTCCCAGGGCTAAGTTTGGGTGCTTGTCACTATTATGATTTTTCCTAAGAAGTGGCATTCCAGCATTCCTCAGTTCAAGGAAAAAAAACAAAACCAAACCACAGCTATCTATTTTTCCCCATTCAGTTTTGCTGATGTCTTCCCTTATCATAACAGCAGTCTCAATGTTGGCTCTGCTATCTGTCCTTGGGGCCATCAACTCCTCATATCTGACACTACTGAGCACCTAAGGGCTGCACACTGTGCCAAGTATGTTATGTCAATGATCCCACTTGATTCTCAGAGCCCATCCACAAAATGAGTATTATCATTTTCAGATGAGAATGACATTTCAAATGATCTATTCTTTTCCTCAACTTTGAGAGTTTTCTCAAGCTGTCCACAGGCCGCAGTTATTCTCAGTGTTGGTTGTGCATTCTGCAGTCGTGAGTTCATTTACATTCTATAATGTCACTATTTCTTTCTCCCTCTTTCGATATCAGTTGTCTTTCGACGTTTTGTCTTGTTTCACTAAGTCCATGTCTTGTTCAATTCCTTGAAAGCATGAAAGAGCTTCAGCATAAAAATTCTTCTGTCTCCTGGACTAAGAGTGTCCTTAAATATTAGTTTACTTAATTTATTTTTACAACTTATATTCATTTTCCTTTTTTTTCGAGATAAAATACTACTTTTTTTAAAAAGATTTTATTTATTTATTTAATTGCCAGAGAGAGAGACACAGCGAGAGAGGGAACACAAGCAGGGGGAGTGGGAGAGGGAGAAGCAGGCTTCCCGCGGAGCAGGGAGCCCAATGCGGGGCTCAATCCCAGGACCCTGGGATCATGACCCAAGCCGAAGGCAATCGCTTAACCAACTGAGCCACCCAGGTGCCCCATAAAATACTCGTTTTTGTTTGAGATTATTTTCTGGCTCACTCATTTGTAAATGTAGACATTACCAGGGCCTTCTCACTGCTCAAAAATAGTATGGCATTTTTCTCTCTCACTGCTCTCAAGAGATTCTCTGTCTCTCTACAGGGAGAGAGATAGGACACCTTACCTTACGGGGGAAAATCCTATGAATGACAGTGACTTTCTCATGAGACACCTTGGGTACCTTCTGATATATTCCATAAGTACTGAGACAGAGGACTGGCTAATGACGCCATATATTCTCTGTACTACTATTCAGTTCTTTGGGAGGAGACCGAGGGTGGTGGAGCTGGGGTGTGGCTACCCTCAGCCTGGGAGCCTTCTCTCTGAATTTGTTAAGACTACTGTGTCTGGGACTCATTCAGCCAGCTAGGAAGATTGAGCTCTTTTATGGAGCTCTTTTATGGAAAAGTCCTCACATTTCAGATCATTCCCCTAGTTCAGGGTAGATTGGACACACTGACAAAAAAATGAGAGTAGCATAATCCCCTTTGGTTCATGGTCTTCTGGTTTAGTGGGTCAGCAAGTTTCTGCTGAATCTGTATTCATCTCTAGTCTATAGTTTGCCCTTATACCTCCTGCCCTCCTCCTTAGAAAACCCTCAGAAGAGTAGGAAAAAAAAAAGGAAGGAAGGGCGACTTCACAGTTCTATGGCTTCTTCTTCAATATTATTGGCTCTGCTAAGATGGAGGAAAAAAGGCTCCAGATCATTGCTTCTGCCCTTCTCCCAAGCCCTCTCATGACTTCGGCCCTGGGTCCCAATATCAGATGGATTTTATACTAGTGTGCTCCAAAGAATGTTCTCCAAATACAATACAGCTCCATGCCCGAGAGTGGACAGCTTAGGGTTGGTCCAAATTGTGTCAGGTTGGCTGACAATCTATAATTCTGTGTAAAATTAGAGCCTTAGCATCAGTGTAGAGGATCTTATCTTCAGGCTTTTTTTTTCACTTCCTGTATGTTTTGCCTACCATTTGTTTAAAGAAGAATAAAGTGGAAAACTTACTGGTTCAGCTAATAAAAATTCTTTGTCAGGCTCATGAAAGAAATTTCTTCTAAAAATTAATCATTTCTGCCTTCTAACATCTTAAGTTCTGAACAAATCCAAATATTTGAGCGCTTATCATACACAAGACACAAGAATATAAAAATTTAAAAAAGTTATTTCCTGTCTTGGACAATATTATAGTGAGGTGAAGGAAGCAGGTAAGTACACCAATGATCACAAAAGAGGAATCTTCAACTTAAAAACTTCCAATGTGGGAAATTTCTTAGTTATTGGCCAATGCAAAAACCCACCAATGCTTCCCGTCAATAATAGTGTCACTTTGGATGCACAGAAAAAGACACATAGTCCTTTGGAAGCCAGCATGGTGGTTGGTAGAGGGTGGTAGCGAAATACAGAGGAGAAAACATCTAAGTTTGGCCAGTCCCTCTCCTGGCAACCAGAAAGTTCAGAGTAGTCATGCAAGCTTAAGAACAGCTCAAAACCAACCAGTCAGGAAAGGAGGATTTCTCCTGCAGGCCTAAATGAAGAGTATGTAAGGGAGAATGTATTCTTGGAGAGGCTAAATCCATTTCATTAGCTCTTCTGTTCTTTCTGTCTAGAAGAACATAGAAACAGGGGCCACTCAACATCCATTAGCCACCGAAACACCAATTCATAAAGCACCCGGTTTAGAGAGTAGATGATACAAGGAGATCCAGCTTCTTAGAGAAACAGGATTTCAACTCCGATCTCAGGAGTCCCTCTGGCTCTGACTAGGTTGGTGGCAGGCAGACCTTTGCGAGTCCACAGTGCCCCTTGATGGTCTCCAAAGGTGAAAAATCATTTAACGTCTTTCCCATCTCTGAGCCTTACTAAAGCAGATTTGGGGGCAATGATTAAGGGAGAAATCTGCAGTCAGATTTGTTAATTAGAATGCTGGTGGTTGACTGTCATACTATCAAATGGAGCATCTTCAGGGGATAGGACAGTTTGCTGTAACTAGTGGTAGGTGGTTCACATACCTGTATTTTGACCACATGCTTTTCTTGTTCATACAAATATGATTTCCTAGCTTCGTACTCTTTCCTAAGAAGGGATCCTGCACTTGTGGCTTGAAGGCGAAGAAGCAAATCATCAGACGCAGACCACATCTTCTTGCGAGCGTAATCTGTTGTGACTTTCTCAACAATGTCCTGGCAAGAGATATTTCTTATGGTTACACTTCACACATCAGGTGAAAGGAGCATAGAGAACAGCGTCTGGAGATTATATCTCTGAGAAAACGATATGGGTAACTCTTTCCGGCCTGGTTTAAAAACAGATTTGACCAGAGCCAAGGGATGAACTGGCTTAGCTTCTTTCTAGCAACGTGCTTTTGGAATCCTCTGAACTTGGTGCTCAGGTGCTCTGAGAATTTGGTTGAGTGATCTCAGGATCTGGAGGCGGAGGTGCCGGCAAGGACCAGGTGTGAGGCCTGAGCTCCAGAATGTAAACGGGACAAGGATGATTACAGTATGAATATGCATATGCATCACCTCCTCCCTCGCCAGGGCTGCCAAGGAAAAGACTGCAGTGGCCATGAAGTCTTCTGGCTCCTCTGCCCCCTTTCTTGTCCAGGCCAGAGTAGGCAGACCTCTGCAAAGAGCCAGGGGCTCAAAATAAACTTGGGGGAAAATAAAAGACTTGGGGCAGAAGGAAAGGGGGTGGGAGAGGAGAGACAGGCACTACCATGACCAGACAGGGGAAACTCTGTCTGAACGAGAATGAATGAGGGAAAAGGAGGAAGGGGGGACTGTGAAAAGTCTTTATGTGGATTACGAAATGGGTTTGCTTTTTATGTTCTTTGAGAGATGCAAGCCAAGACTGGACTCACTTCCATGGCTGATGCTCTCATCCGGTGTGACTGCAATCAATGGGTGGCTAATTAAAAAAATTAAAACTGACATCATAAAAAATGCTTAAAAACCTTCAAAAGAAGACATTTTCACATTCATGAAATCAGTACTTTTAGATTGTCTAGAAGAAATAATTTTTTTAAACAGTGTAGATCTTCCACTTTTTAATAATCCTAATAGAATGATGCTCAATTTCACAAAGTTATTCCTAAGGCATCTTGGACACCACTGGAGCTATTGTTGGCTCCGAATTATAACCCTTTGATGCTGCTTCTTCACAGTTCGATACGTCTTTTCAACTACAGCATCTGGTTTTTACAGTTTCATTTACCTACAAAGTAGCACTGATAATGCACTGCCACCTTAGTATTTTCTTGTAAACTGTGGCAATCTTGAATATTTGAAATTAGTTAATTAACTATCTTCTTGTCATGCAGGAGTTCTGGTGGCTCTCTCAGCCCCAGGCCATAGGTTTTTTTCGGAGTTTTAGCAAATATACTGGTGATTCCATCCACAAAGTTGCTATACTGCAGTATCTTTGATGCTGGTGACTTTTAACAATTTTGTAAGACCTACATTTGTGTGTTCTTTCTTTCTTTCTTTTTTTCCGAAATGGGACTAAACTATTATTAGTATTTTCTCTTTGAACATACTACAATGCATGCATCAAACAGCAATAGTCACATCTTGTGGGTCCAACTTTGGTCTCAAGTCCAAAGCAATCTTGTGAACATCTTTTCAAGAGTATTTCCCCCCAGAAAGCATTACTGACTTTTTAAAGGACATACATGTCTCTGTGGTAGGCTGTGAGGGGGAAAGAAATAAGACTTTCCAAATACTGACAACCAAGAAATTATTCCTAACTGAACTTTTGGGTCAGGGCAAACCTGAAGATTGATTTCTTAGGATCATGTACCATTCCAAACAAGCTACAGAAGCTTTCTTCCCCTTGATCTGTCTGGTGGCAGTATGCCAACACAGAAATAATTGTAAAAGTTAGTAGCCACGCAACCACATCCAACTGCATTCATGAAGACTTCACTTTATGTCCAGCCTTCGATAAATCCGTTATTTCCTCCCATCACTTCCATGATTCAAAAATAGAAAGGCAATCACACTTATTTTTTCATAGTACAGTTTCATTAAACACGAACCTCCTACCTCAATTTCTTTTGCCATGAGCCATGATTCTTTAGGCGAGTATGGTTCGGGTGTGACCCAGGAATTCTCTTTTGAATCGATGTTGTAGTAGTACTCATATTTATCCTGCAGGCTAAGTTTGAGCCATGAACCTTCAGTAGACACTAAAGAAAGAAATTTGTTACATTCTAGAGTGAAACACTGAACTTTTCAACATTAATGTAGTTTCTCCAATACATAAAATAATCTAATGAACAATTTTTCACCAAGCATTCAGATGGCCTAAATAAAAAAAAAAAAATGAGAAATGACTCACTAAAATGAGTGAATTCTATGTTTTCAATGGCAGCTCTCAATTCAGCCAAATCAAGAGGAGGACAGAGGGATGTCTAATGCTAGGGCTCTGGACCTCAAACGTCTCATGAGGATGAGAAGAGTCATAAATGGCCAACAAGAAGGAAAAACAAACAAAGAATATATGTCCCTGGTAGATGTGAACAGCACGAAAAATGGACAGAGAAGACCAATGAGCAAGAATCTTTTTGCTTAGAAAGTCTTCCAGCAACTTCTCTGAGAAGGAGTGACCTGGAAGGACTGTGACCCATTATTTAGGGAAAGCCAATGATCTTCATTAAACCAATGCAGAAGTGACTCATCTTTACAGACAACTTTATCTAAAGTAAAAACTGGCATATGCAAACACTAAGGTCACTAAGTACGGAGAAGGAAAATGTCCTGGTTTGCCTCACCTTGCTCTACATGACCACACAAAATGAGAAAAAAAAAATTGCAGAAAGGACTTAATTTGGGGGGGGGGGAGGATGTACTAGAAAAAAAAATCTATGGCATTCATGACTTAATTAGTTAAGAAGAGTATCTCCTCCTCATGAATCCATGGGCTTTATTTCCTATTTAGAAATCTGTTTATTTTGCTGAATGGCCATGATTCCTGTCCCAGACCAGCGAGGTAAAACAACCACAAAAATAAACATAAAAATGATCTGACCTGGATCAATCTAAACCAACTGCTGTCAAGTGAGCCTTGGAGTAAATGTCTTTATAGGGAAATCGAAGTTCAAGTGAATTTCCTTATACAATATTTAAATGGATTCAAATAACTAAGCAGGGGTAACTTCAAGGCCCTTGAATGTGTGTTGATTCTTTATTTGGTTTTAAGTGCTTCTCAACTGTTCTGTGTGTCACTGCCCAGGAAAAGAGATGTATCTCTTTCCAAATGGGCAGACAGCTGTTATCTGTGTAGAAATGCTGGCCTACTAGAACATATATTGTACAGTCAAATGAGGATGATCACAAGTAATCATTATGGATCTGAGGTAACTCCTAGGTTTCTGAATTGGGAATCTGGGGATATATGACTACATGCACCAGAACATGGCACAAAGGAAGAGGAGTAGGCAAGGGAAGTGGACAGAAGATTAATTAAGCTTAGGCCAAGATGGACTTGAAACTGAACTTAACCCCTGCATTAGTACTGTTGCATAAGTCTTTTTCCATGAAGGATGAGGTAGGGGACACTACGGTGACTCTGGATGAAGAGATGTGAAGGGAACAGAGAGGAGCTCAAAGGTGAGCAGATGCCAAGTTAGAAAGAATGGCCAATAACCCTCCTCATACTTCATTAATGGGCAATTTGCTGAATTGAGGGGTGCAATCTCTGAGTTGGAAATACATCAGATAAACTTAGAAGTACATAGTGTACTATGGGAAAGACCTCCCGTTGAACTAAAAAAACCCTTTTTATCCTCCAATTCTACTTCTTGGGCCATTCACATAGCTTCCCAAAGAAGAGGAGTCCATGACCTAGGACGTGGTGCAAATAAACACTAGCCTGTGAGTCAGGAGACACTTGGATCCTTGATAGGACATGAAGTGCTCAGTAACAATCTACTAAAGGAACGGTGGACTATCAAAAATTAACCTCTTTGGGTTTGTCATAGTCTCCCTCTGACCACAATCTCATGAATATGTTTCTAAATCTGAAAAATGAGTATAAGGCTCATGATCTCAAAGCTTCTCTCCAGAGCTAACACTTCATGGTCTGCCATTGGATTGAACAGGCATAAATACTTGCTGAGGTTATTGATCTGATCCCTTGGAGACCAGGTCATTCTACTTTATTCCACATTTTCAAAATTACTCTTTACTCTTACTTAAGATTGTGCAATCATGTACCATTTGTTTCAAAAAGGATAAAGAGAAATATTAGTGTCAAAATCAGTTTGTATCACTAGAGAAATGGATCAATAAGCAAGCCCTAGATAAAGCAAAATCTCCTTAAATACTGTATTTTCTCAAGGTTATGGTAACACCCATGTATAGCCACCAAGTTAATCTGAGCTT